CCCCCTACCTACTTAACAATATTTCTATCTACCCTAAATCGCCACAACACGTTCTTTACCTGATTGCTAATATCTCCCCCAACATTGTCAAAGTAAGCATCAACGCCCTCAGGACAACATTCTAACAATTTTTCTCGTATATTTTTGGCGGTCTTATAGTTGATAGCAACATCGAAACCCAGTTCATCCACCAAATATTTGCACTTTTCATCTGTACCACAAATTCCAACTACTTTGCCGCATCCCTCAAGCTTAGCAATCTAGAATTATAAGTATGTTGAAAACGAAGTTCTAAATAGTATTTGAATGAAGAGACATTATGATTTGACACGAAAGTTTGTTTCATTCATTGACGTTTGTTACCGTGATGAGAAGAAGCGAAGCAGGAATGTGCTGGGGCTGGTTGTTCAGAAGCGGCCACCCTGGGTTAACGCGAAATTCAAAGTATACTTCCTAGCCACTTGTTTATGAAAGTGGAAGAAATCTTATCTGGATCACCAGAAGTTTAATTTTCTAAAGTTTTGAAATAAACGGACGTACAGATACCCTTACGAAAAAAGTCGATATACATAAACCAAAGCAATGGGTTAAATTGAACTCACGGTTAGCGCTGATCGCGCTTTGAACAACCTGCCCCTGGGTATTACCAGATAGTACTGGAAATTTTTATTAGATCCGTTTCCACTCAAGAAAAATTTCCACGGACAGAACATTTTCTGAAAATATCATTGTTAAAAGTTGAAAATTTTCAACTTCAAAATTTTTTCCGATGGAAAATTTGTGTTCGATTATAGTTTGCAAAATTTTCTTTCTGCGGAAACTTTTTTTGAGTGGAAATGGGCCTTCAGCTGTAAACCGGAAAATGTTTCACTTAGTTTTTGCGTTCATAGGCTGTTAAAAAAATACACTACATGGCGTGCGACGCATTAAAACGGAATTACAGAAACCTTTTTTCATGTAAACTATTGCTGCTGTGTATTGTTCATGGACCTAATGTGAACTCAACTACATTCAGTATGTACAGTGTGTTTAATTCGCTGGCTAAAACCCATAGAGATGCCTGAGGAGGAGGCTAGCATCAGTCCAACTAAACCATAAATATGCACCTGACCAGCAGCTGTCCCACAAGCCCCTGCAGCACCACTGATGATAACAGTCTGGTTCTTTCCAGGAATGATGTGAGCCTTCTCTCGAATGCCTAATATCGCTGTCAATCCAGTCACACCCAGAAGTCCTAGGATGAGTGATGGATGTTTCTTCAATATCTCGCTTTCTACCTAAGATATGCAAACGGTGGCATTTTAACCATATACATGATTAGATAATGCATTTGGAGCGCGCGAAGCACTTATTAGTGAGCTTAAGCAAGTGACGTTTTTGACAACACGGACGTCGACCGGAAGTAAAATTGACGTTTTTCACCAATCACAGCCCTTGACCCAGTCTTCTGACGTTACTCATGCCGTTCGTGTTGTCAAAAACGTCACTTGCTTAAGCTCACTATTGATAGATCAGTGGCGCGAAGAGATTGGACCATTGGTGTTGTTGTAGAGTACTCTAACTATCTCTAAGACCACATTTTAAAATCCTGACATTTTAACAATATTAACATTCAAAACCTAAAATACGATACAATTTGCAGGCCCAATTTAAAATTATTCAACGCTCATTGCGCAATATCACCATTATGAAACTGCAGTACTTTTGACCTTACTACAATATGTAGCTAGATACTTCATGGCCACAGGTTTATATACATATAAATACTGACATACTGAATAATAAATAAAATGTCATTGTATATTAAGTTTATTAACAAAAACCGATAGCTACTATATCCATACTAGTTTTACCTTTTGCAATGCGTGTAACCCTATAGTAGGGTCGGCATTTGAAAGCAACGCCTGTGGATTAAAATTCACAAATTTTTGAAACGGCCAACACAGTGGCAAATGCAGTATATCGCCGAGCCGAAACGATTCGTCTTTGCTTTCCACGATAACCCCTGTCCCAGAGCCATTAAAAGTTTGCCCAATTTGCCAGGAATTTACGTATGCGACACCGGGATCTGCATTGAATTGAACCCGCATATAAGGATCGACAGACAAGCACAATGTTTTTGCAATAATTTCGCCTTCTTTGCACTCTGGAATTGTTACCGTTTCAATACCAAAGTTTTCTATCGATACGGGGTTAGATTCACCAGGACGGTTGCGTAGAAAAATGCGAATATTCTGTCCTTCTTGCGCTGTCATTTTTAGTTGGTGGCCCACTACAAGACTATACAAGTTACAATATCGATGGGAATCGGTGGGTCATTCTATTACATGTGTTTTGTGATTGGCTCTTTGGATTAATTAAGATGTAAATGTAAATTGTTCGAAAGCCGATCCGACTATATACACAAACTAAAACAGCGGGTTAAATTTTAACCAAGGGTTAGCGCTAACCCACCTTTGAACAACTGGCCCCAGATGTATTTTTTGTGTGTAGCATGTAAGGATTTGTGATTGGTTGATATAACAATGAAACAATAAAACTAATTAGTGTGTCCACACTTTTGGGGCCGGTTGTTCAAAGGTCTTCAAAGCTGGGTTAGTTTAACCCTACGTTAACTTAAAATTCAAAGCAAACTTCCTCACAGCTTGTCTATAAATTTGGAAATATTTCTTCAGAGATCTTGTCTGGATCGATATGAGTTTACTTCTCTGAAGTTTTGAAATAAACAGACGTGTATAAATACACAAACTAAAACAGCAGGTTAAATTTTAACCCAAGGTTAGCACTAATCCACCTTTGAACAACCGGCCCCAGGGCTTCTGCAAGCAAATTTAGGACAAAAAGTTTAACGAACTGATCATTGAAAGTACGAGACCTTTCTAGGCTGACCGCAAATAAGATTTATTTTAGAGCAGACGCTAGCTAAATCCTTCAGCAGGTTCTTTGGAACCAGTCCCAATATTTTTACATCCGGCGACCCAGAAAAGTTTAATCTGGCGCTAATAAGATGCGGGGAAATAGGGTTTTGTTATATATATATATTCATCATTTATTACTATGATATCTTACGTTATTATATCACAATATTCACTATAGTCACAAAATATAGTCACAGCTATAGTTTTGCACTTAATTACAGACATGGACGTAGGAAAATAGATGCAGGTATCAAACTGGTGTCAAAAAAGATTTCAAACAAACAATACTACAATCAATTGTGTAATTAATTTATAACTTTTAATAAATTAAATGATCACTTTTAATATTCTGCACCGGAACCGGTCCAAATTGAAAGCAGGAAGTTGTCCTACTGTTCCAAAATTATAATTTGGAACAATCCGTAGAAATATGGCGACCTTGCGAGGTCTGCGAACAACACCACAGTGCTTTTCTCGTGCAATTTTTCATTATTCAAAAGGCCAGAAACGGTTTCTTTGTTTAAGCAAGCAAGCAAACTCGCAACTAGCCTTTGTGTCCAGCGAATACAACGAGATTTATAAACGTAGTATCGAAGATCCGGACAAATTTTGGGGTGAACTTGCATCCACTCGTTTGCAATGGATTAAACCATTTACCGAGGTTATGGATTGTGATATGAATGTTGGGAAACACAGGTGGTTTATGGATGGCCTTTTGAATGTCTCAGGTTTAGTATGAAAATGCAGATAATTTGTCTGTTAGATCACCAAGCATATATAGTTGTCTTTATGTTATGTTGTTTATAAAGGTTAATATAATAATGGCAATCCTCTTGCTTTCTCAAATAGAAAATTGTTTGGACAGGCATGTGAATAGAAGTCCTGAAAGTGTAGCATTGATATGGGAGAAAGATGAGCCTGGAACACATGAAACTGTTACTTATAGGTGGGTATTAGAAAACTCTTGGGTAGGGCCGTAGGGGTGGACTTCCTATGGGGGGATGCAGGGCAGTGGCACCTTCCTAGCTTTAGTAGCTAGGGGACGGGTTCATGGAGGAGTTTTGAGAGTGCATGGGGGATTTTTGATGACCAGTGCAAGGGTGTGAAACTACCCTGGGTGGCTAGCTTTTCAGGCTAGCTGCAGTCAAAGAGTTTTTGAGAATGAATTAATGAAAAGGAAAATTACAGTGCTATGATGCAGGAAACCTTCTCTTGCAATGCCCACCACTAATGTCCTTCTCCCCTCCCTCCTAAAAAGGTTAGCATCTAGGTGACTACCAAATTAACCTGTTAACTGCAGATATGTTCACAGATATGTTCACTTGACAACATTTGGGCAATGAATAAGAATTAAGTAAACTTGTTTTTGCAGAAAAAAATCATATGCATATTTATTTGGTAAATAAATATTCATGGTGTTTTTCACAAAACTAAAACAATAATATAGGTCTCACCATATATTACTTAGCAGGGGTGGAAAAAATAGGCGAGCATGCGAGCACTGCTCACAGAAAATGTTAAACAGCTGCAGGAAATTTGTTTGAATGAAGATTTGCTATTGAAAATTTGAAGGGAACCTTAACACCCATGTCCCACTATAGGCGCAACAACATATGGTTGACAGACATTGTTCCTTGAATTTAAAACCATGGTCAGCTAGTGATATGGCACAAAAATACTCCGTTGGTCTGCAGGAAATTTAAGTGTGCAGGTTGTGCTCCCAGGAAGAAAATTATTTTTTCTTACCCTCACTGTTAGGTACAAAGAGCTTCTAGAACTTCCATCCAATTTTGACACTGTTTTTAGAGAACTTTTGAAAATGACATGTCAGCTGGCAAATACCTTGAAAAATCATGGCGTAAAGAAAGGAGACAGAGTTTGTATTTATCTACCAAACTGTCCCCTTGCTGTTGCCACCATGCTTGCTTGTTCTCGTATTGGTGCTGCTCACAAGTGAGTGTGTTTGCTTTAAATTTCTGCCATTTTGCAACATTGACAACTTACATGCAAGTAGTTAATACAATGGTCAATTGACACTTTTTCTCTTAAATAAAACATATTATGACAAATCATCTAAGAAATTAACTGTTTCATAAGATGAACAAACAGTTCATTACTGTCAGGACAAAAGTATTATAGACCACATGCAGAAACTGATTGGGTTTCACTCAGGGATGGCAGCAGTTTAATTTGCTTAATCGATAGAAGTTCATATTATAAACTTTCCCATTCCTTCCTTCTAGTGTTGTGTTTGCTGGCTTTAGTGCAGAGGCATTGGCAAGCCGTATCACAGATGGTCAGTAATAGAATATGATCAACACAGAATGCAAAAGATCTAACTAATAAACAAGAATTTTAGTTACCATCTTTAATATCACATTCAGTACCAGTTTCAGTCTAATGCTAGATGATTTTATTCGTCAATGGGAGCATGCATGCTGATACTAAAATGGGTTAAAACACATTATTATACAGTATGTTATTCTGTCGAATGATACACATGGAAAATCAGTCTTGTGTATTAAATAAACGAAGTGACTATATGACCGGCAGCCGGTCACAGTTTATCAAATACTAAATGGCCGGCAGTCTAGTGACTATTGTTAAAGTTGAATTTTTATAAGATAAACCTATCCCCAACCCCAAACCCTTTTCTAACCCCTAACCCTAACCTTTTGAGAGTTTAAAAAATTTTAAGAAAAAACACATCCCGACCCCGACTGCGTTTAACTTTCCGCACGCAGCGCCCTTGCCGTATGAGCTAACAGCAAGGTCGGTAAAAGCTAACGCAAACAAAAGTTTTTATATTCAACTATAGTCACTATAGACTGCCGGCCATTTAGTATTTGATAAACCGTGACCGGCTGCCGATCATATAGTCACTTTGTTAAATAAATGTGTTATTATATTTCTCCAGCTGGAGCAGAAGTTGTAATTACTGCTGATCAAGGAGTGCGTGGTGGCAAGACAATTGACTTGAAACGAACAGTAGATGAAGCAGTGAGCAAGTGCTCAGGTGTAAGACATGTCTTTGTGATGTCAAGAACTGGGGCTGATGTGCCCATGGGCAAAAAGGATATATCTTTAGAAAAGGTGCCTAAAACTAGTTACCATTTGGCCATTGCCCTCCTTACTCCCCCCTCCCCCTCCTACTCTCATGTCTATCTAATTTAGCTTGAATGTTTTTACATAAGAATGCTTGACATTTGACAACCCAAATTAGTCTTAGCTGTTGTTCTTACTAACCACGCATCTAGCTCTCACGTAAAATTTCATTCACACCAGGCAATGTCAGAAGAGAGTGCTGAATGTGCAGTTGAACCTATGAACAGTGAGGATATGTTATTTTTACTATATACATCTGGGAGCACGGGGAAACCAAAAGGAATTCAACATTCTCAAGCAGGTTATCTGCTCTATACCAATCTCACATTTCAAGTACGTAACCAACAGTTTTTTGAAGCACAATTTCATTTGTATAATTAATATATGCAGACTTAGATAGAACTGTTACAGATTGGACATAGAGCTGTCAGAAGAAAAATATAATGCAGTTTAGTTTTCAGTAGAAGCTTCAGGCCAATAATAAATCATGTATTGTTCCGCGCAATGGGCCAGGCCGTAGACTTTGAAGGGAAATGGTCATCAACCGGTAATTCTCAGAGTGAAGAAAAACATGTCATTTCTCTCTGTTTTGAATGCTAGGTGCCAGTGTGTATATAGTGCTGCAAACTTGTGTAGATAATCCAGTTACCTGAACAATGTAAAAAAGAACGTCTTTGACGTTTCGAGTGATGGCCCTTTGTCTGGTTGATCGCGGTCCGAAATGTCGAAGTTCTTTTTGTATTGTTCAGTTGCATGATCATGTACACATGTGTACAGATTTGATTTTTTTATCTTATGTGGTGGTCTTGCATTTGGCCAGTGGCAAATAGATAAAAAGATTCACGTCAACTTGTTTGCTCCTATAACGTAAAAATGCTCAAGTTGTTACCGGCAGATCTGCAATGCGTTTGCACATCATGTTCCCAGTTGTTGTGACAAGTCTGGAACAATTATTATCACCTTGTACAAGTTGTTTGAAAGAAGGCTAATACAGGTTGTTCGATCGTAACATGTTGCTACGAACTTGTTTGTATCAACCTGTTAACAACTTGCTATGTGCAGACGATATCAGAGTTGTTGGATCATCTTGTCGCGAGTCTGTTGCAGTGTTGGTCTCACCAACCTTGTGACAAGATGATAACAACTTGTTCCAGACTTGTCAACAACTGGGAATATTAAGGTGGCTCCCTAGGGTTTTTTAATTTACTACACTATAGTATTCAGGAGACTCCTGCTTCTTTACTTTACATGACATGAAAACGAAATTTATTGGACACATTGACAATGTTCTACTGAACATTGCAAATTGCTACTTTTGTGTTAAAAATATGTTGTCATGGCAACAGCATGCTTAGAATAAAGCTCAAAATTTGTCTTTTTCAGGTCATTTTAAAAATTCCCTTCGGTGAAATTTTTTAAAACTTTGCATAAAAGATAATACTTGTCTAATGATTTTTTCCCCGTAATTTAAAAAAATTAAATCGATAAGTTTCTTAGAAAATATAAAAAACGTCAAAAATCAATATTAAAAATTTTCCCTTCGATTTAATTTTCAGAAAAAAGGATATTGCACTTGTTGTGCCGATATTAAAAAATGTGCAAAGTTTTAAAAAATTTTACCGAAGGAAAACAGAGAAATTTGGGTTTAATTTTGGCAATTTTTACGGATTTTTACGCGAACAATTTAATACCCCAACTGACGTGTACATGCATTCTGCATAAAACAAGAAGACATGACTTCTTTGAAATCACAAAATATAAATTATGTTTGATATACTGTTTATAACTGTGTCGGTTAATGGTCAACTAAGCGTGGATTATACATGTGTAATTTGCAAAGATATTTAGATAATTACTGGTTATGACTTCTTGGTATTAATTTGAAAAATGTTTGTCAAAATTCGTCCCGTGCGAATAGTACATACGTCGGATGTTTTCGCAAAATGCCCGTTCAAATTTCAGTTTTTATAGTGGTATGTTTGGAGTTTCGGCCCTGCTCATTTCACCCGTAGAAGGCTCATTATTTAAGTCATCTTTATTGTCATAAGTGCTGCTAGATTGTGGAGAAAACACTGCAAATTCTTGAGGAAACTTTATATCATATCCCAGTGTTCGCGATCGCACCTCGCGTACGGCGGTTCAAAAAACTTCCAGAATACCGCTTGAAATAAAACAAGTTTACATTATCTTCTTTTGAAACATCACATCCAAGTATCATTTTGGCTTTTAGAACTCTTTTTATGCTTTCAACTAAAGCAAAGTTGACACTTTTGTTTCAAAAAAGAGTTCCATATAAAAACACAACGTTCGTTCGTATTTTGAAGTCACACGAGTTTTAGTTTACATATATACGAAGAACGTAACCCCCGGAAATAAAACCCTAGGGAGCCACCTTAAGCAGTGCAAACACATCTTGTCGACAAGTTGTGAAATTTTTACGCTTACCCCGGTCATACGGGCCCGCAGTAATTGACCGCTTGCGTAATAGACTAAATTTTGATTTCAACAAAAATTTCATCACAGCTTGAAAGAGCATCACAAAATTAGTAATATTCCAAAGTTTCGTTATGTTGTAAAATGCGGAAATTATAGCCTTGCGAAGTTTGCAATTTTCAGTCATTTTAATGACTGAAAATTGCAAACTTCGCAAGGCTGTATTATCCGCATTTTACAACATTTCGCAACGAAACTTTGGAATATTACTAATTTTGTGATGCTCTTTAAAATGACTGAAAAATGCAAACTTCGCAAGGCTATATTATCCGCATTTTACAACATTTCGCAACGAAACTTTGGAATATTACTAATTTTGTGATGCTCTTTAAAATGACTGAAAAATGCAAACTTCGCAAGGCTATATTTTCCGCATTTTACAACATTTCGCAACGAAACTTTGGAATGTTACTAATTTTGTGATGCTCTTTCAAGCTGTGACGAAATTTTTGTCTAGACTTATTTAGATAAAAATTTAGTCTATTACGCAAATGGTCAATTGGCTAATTGCTGTTGTGGTCACCGGGCCATGGCGGTCATGTACTGTGTTTCATTATGTACATTTTTATTTTGTCCCATCAGTGTATTGTACTGTTTCATCAGCAAAGTTTATAAATTAAAAATAATTCAATCAAATTGAAATAAATTAAAAGAGGATGAGAGTTGGCAGTCACGTATTGTTACTGGGGAAATTTAAAGATTTGATGAGTGTTTCAACTATGTTTTAACTTCAATAAAATGCATGATAAGATGATGTCCACTCCGTTCTGTTCTGCTCATAACAAAAGGGGACCCCCAGATATACACATTGCCCAAATTTTGCATCTTTCGAACTTTTTTGAATTGAAACGTATAGTTTATATTCATTTACAAGTGTAGCGAACCAGAAAAGTGTTAGATATTCAGTTAGTATATCATATTTTACAAATATAGCAGTTCAAAATGTAAACAAAGTTCGCGCATGTGCACAGGAGTGGACATCATCTTTAAGAACAGCTAACCAAGCACTCTCATCCTCGTTTCATCCTGGCTTATGTGTCAGCGTTTGTGAAGTTGAGCACGTGACGCCCACTGAAACCAACGTGCTTTCTTTTCAGCATGTGTTTGGTTACGAACCAGGAGACATATTCAGTTGTGTTGCTGATATTGGTTGGATTACAGGTCATTCCTATGTGGTCTATGGTCCTTTATCAAACGGTGCAACGTCTGTCCTGTTTGAGAGCATCCCCACCTATCCTGACCCTGGTCGTTATTGGGAAACTGTGCAAAGATTGAAAATAAACCAGTTTTATGGCGCACCAACTGCTATTCGTCTTCTGCTTAAGTATGAAGTTGACTGGGTGAAGAAATATGATAGGTCTTCTCTACGGGTTCTGGGAACAGGTAGATCATGCAGTTATATGTTACCAGTCAGCAGCCAGCCCGACGATTTAGTCCCACTATGCAAATATTTTCGTGTTTATTGACTGGGAAAACAATCAATTTCTAAAGAAATTAATAATGATAATAATTTTGAAATTACATAGCGGGACTAAATTATTGGGCTGGCTACGCCACTGCCAGTAATTTAAAACATGTTTATGCCTGTTCCCACACAAGTTATTCAAGCAAGGTTGTTGTGAAGCCGTTTCCCGGATGTATTTTCACTGCTTGTTCTCAGTTGTTACAAGTCTGGAACAAATTATTGTCGTCTTGTCACAGTGACAGATTTGCTACAAGTTATTCCAACAAGACTAATACAGACTGTTTGTAACAAGTTGTTGCGAGCTCGTTGTCATCAACTTGTTAACAACTAGCTTGCCACGTGCAGATGATATCAGACTTGTTGGAACAACTTCTTGGGAGTCTGTTGGTCTCATCGACCTTGTTACGAGATGATAACAACTTGTTCCAGATTTGTCAAGCAGTACAAACACAATGAGACCTCGGTATATACCTACTCTATGACACGATGTCCTACGAAGTTACACATCTGGTATATACTTAATCTGTGCCCTGACCAAGTAACTTTCTCATTTCTTTTTCCAGTGGGAGAACCAATCAACGCTGACGCCTGGCATTGGTACAATGAGGTTGTTGGTGAGAAAAGATGTACAGTTGTGGATACATGGTGGCAAACAGGTACTGCACTCAGCTTTAGCCGCAAGATTCAGTGAAACGCGTATGACGGTCTGCTTCAAACTGTTTATTCTTCTAGAGACGGGTGGCATATTTATCGCGCCTAGACCATCAGCAGACAACTCGACGCCCAAACCAGAGTTTGCAACGAGACCATTTTTTGGAGTTGAACCTGTTCTTTTGGACAGTGAGGTACCTATTCTGATAGTTCATCTAATACCGTATTTGTAGACGAACTATCAGTTTTCGCCGAAAAGTAAAATTTATTTTAGAAAATTCTGTTATCTTTGGCACTTAGGAACAATGGTTACTGTCTTTGTGGTCCATTGCATCAATTTTCCGTTTTAGGGAGTCGAGTTGCATGGAAATAATGTCTCTGGCAACCTGTGCATTCGTGGTTCCGTTCCAAGCATGGCCCGAACTGTTTACGGAGATCACCGAAGATACTTAGAAACTTACTATACAACCTTCCCAGGTAAACGCTTTCGTTTCTAGAAATGACCTTTATAATGCGGACATTACCATTAAATCTCAGTCCCAGAGAGCAAAAACGTGAATTTAAACCTTTTTTGTTACGAAAAGACAGTATAGTCATACGGTATATTAGTCAATTTTAAATGAAGTTTTAAGTTGGCGGTTAAGTCTTGGAAGTGACATCAAAGAAGTTCAAATTTTGACATCCACCACCGCCGCGTATGAAGCCTGTAGTGGTAGTGGAGGTCAAATTTGACTGTCATTGTGGCGACCTCTACAAAACGGACTTCTCTCTACTACAGACACTCTCCTCTGTCCTCTTCACGTCTGATTTAAGTCTGCCGCACACGAGAACTTGAAAAACCTCTTGTGGCGGCTGCAGCCTGCCAGAGGGCCCATACGGCCCCATAGTTGCATTTTTCGCAACCGTTCCTGGTTAGGTTTAACCATAGTTAACTATATGGTCTAACAAATGTAAAATGTTTGGCTGTATCATTGTAATCTGTATCATTTTGTAAAATGTTGTCATACACACAGGTTATTATTTCACTGGTGATGGAGCATTAAGGGACAAAGACGGTCACTATAGAATTACTGGTAGGGTGGATGACGTCATCAACATAAGTGGACATCGTTTAGGAACGGCTGAAATAGAAGATGCCTTGGTAAACACATATATTATTGTTGGTGACGTAACTTGTTGATTTTACCCACAGTTTTACCATAATGCAACAAGTAAAATGGCTGTTAGTTCACTTCAGATTTCCACTCAGTTTGATTAATAAATTTAATCAATGCGCGTGCATTTCCTTGTGTGAAATGCGAGGGGGTTTATTAGAGAGGGGGTTTATTTGGGAGCTAGGGGATTCATCAAGTTGTAATGGTATTTCTTTTAGGATAACCATCCAGATGTTGCCGAGAGTGCAGTGGTTGGCTTCCCGCATGATATCAAAGGAGAAGGTAGATCATTAAAATCACGCTCTCATTAAAATTCTTTATTTCTCATAAGGTTCATTGTGGAAAATACGAGAAATATTTAATTTCTCAAGGTTGTCTGAAGAACAATAACGCCAAGTCGAGGCTTTGTGGTAATATACTAATAGAAAAATTACAATTTAGAACGAAGCCCCGTTGTCAGGGCATTGTGAGCACTTGTCCGCAATTCCGAAATGGTATAATTTGTTTTCCAGGATCCTGGGATCTCATTTTTTCTCGGTCTGTATTAATTTAATTAACCCATTGAGTTGCATTGCGTCGCAATGCACCCTACTTTATTACTTTACTCTGTCTAATGCCAGATGATTTTACTCATCAAGGGAAGAGCGCTGGCACTCAATGGGTTAATGTCCCCTTGACCAGTAAGTTTGTCTGGTATCAAGGGTGGAAGAGACCTGCGGAAGATGGTGTGATTTAAATTATTTATTATTCTCAGGTATTTATGCATATGTTACCTTGAAAGAACACGCGCTGATCACACCTGAAGATCTACGTTTGCAGCTCAAAAAACTTGTCAAGAAAGAAATTGGCTCATTCGCTGCTCCAGAAATAATTCAGGTATTTTAAAATCTCAGTTAATCTTAAACGTATGGTTACCTAGAAATTCCAAAGGCCGCAGTAGATTGATAGGGACACAACTACGGAACTACTTGAAAAATAGAACGAGTACTTGGGTAGTTGTATCCCTATCACTCCGTAGCTTTCTTCTTACGATGGGCACACTACGCTGGCACAGACCGTTCGAGGTTATATCAAAGTTTGCAGTATCCCACTGTTTACATGCATAAATATACATCTTATCATAGTCACTGAAGGTCAGTGTTGCAAGGTACATGCTATCTAACCAGATATGTCACATCAGCTAGTACAGCTACATCATTTTTTACAAGCCAAATAATTGAACACTGCACAAAGTGTCATGAGCCTGTAAAGGACCGATTGGCGGACAGCGGACTGCCTGACCCACCGACCAACCCACCGACCTACCAGCCAGCTGTCTGACGAACTAATGGCGGACTGACCAGTTGGCCATTACTGTCTGCAGAGTTGGCGATTTTAAGGGTTTGGGGGCACCCTGCTATGCAGAGCCTATTTTTAGAGAGCACGTGGAAGCGAGCGACGAAAAGTAGGCTCTGCACAGCAGGGCGAGACTAGGGCAGTGAAAAGTAGGGAGGCGAGGCGCTGGAAGGCGAAAATGCGGGCGAGACCATTATTCGCGCCTTTCCCGCACCTCCGCCTCCCTAATTTTCGCTGCCTGTGCCTCAACCCCAACCCCTTAAAACCGCAGGCTACTGCCTGCCTGCCTGCCTGACTAACCCACTAACCTGACTGGCTGGCAGACTGATATGCACTGGTAAAAAAATAAAGGTTCCAAGGATTGAAAACAAGGGTTTTGTTCACCTGTTTAGGTAGCCCCAGGACTTCCCAAAACACGATCTGGAAAGATCATGAGGAGAATTTTGCGGAAAGTAGCAGCAAATGAATTTGAAGATTTAGGTGATGTTTCGACTTTAGCAGAACCTTCTGTCGTAGAAGGAATCGTAAATGAACACAAGAAATTAATTGAATCGAAATAAATTTTCATAATTTGCAACAGGGAAAGCTTGCAAGTACCAAACTAGGCAAAATTTTAAAACTATTTTATTCAATAAAAACTACTACGCCCTAATATACATGTATTAATCGTTTAGGTAAATACTGTAAATATAATTATTCAGGTAAAATAGGAAATACATTGGTCTAATATATATTTTACTGACTTTTAAGCTTAGTTTCATTTACCACTTTGGCATTGTGCCAGCGACTCTAGATCACTCTAGATTTCGGCGTCGGATTTTTTCGTCATTGGACCACTGATCTCCATAGATCATTGGTCCAGAAACTTTCGCTATTTACTGTAATCAAATTTTTTGTCCAATGATGCTTTTTCATTTGGAGTTTTTTGAAAGAAATTCGTCAAGAATTCTCTATAAAGTAATTACGAAGTTTCTCTATCGTCAATATTGATCAATATTATACCTCAAATTCAAAGTGTCCAATCAGAAAGCTAAGTTTGTGCCACGTGAGCATGAAATGTATCATCGAATTGCGCCTAACGTCATCGTATTTGACGTAAGCGGGTGACCTGACCACAGGAGGCCCAGGCTCGATTTGCCCGCGCCCGCCTGTACCTTCCTTATAGCGGGCGCGGGCAAATCAAGCCTGGGCCTCTTGTGACCTGACATGGTGATTTGATCATGCACTGGGGTGATATGATTCGCGTAAACCACGCGCGACGATCACGCAAACAAGATGGCCCACAAAATATACAAGGAGTGACGAATTATTAAGGTTTGGAAGCAAATTTTGAAAAACGATGTGTATTCCAGATATCATGTGGAGGTAAGGATAAGACAGTAATATACTGGCAAGAGAGCAACTCAATTTTCAGATATTCTTGTGGAGGTATTTAAAGGGAGTGGCATTGAACTGAATAGAACTGGAATGCTACCTCCAACCAGAAATTTGAAGCCAAACTTGAAGGCCAGTCCCAGTCTTTTCACCAAAAGCACTGCATGCGCAATCTTTCAATCATGACATAGACATGTGTGTCTGGAGATCAGATTTGACTTCAAGAAAAAGTGAAGGCAGCTTTGAAGACTTCAAGAAAAAGTGAAGGCAGCCTTATCTGAAGGCAGCGTTCCAGTTATATTCATTTCAATGGGGAGTGCTCATCAGTGCTTTCTTTCTAATATCCCTCGGCCTCATAACAAAATTTCCTTCCCAAAGTATTGAAGTTTCCTAACAGCTGGAAAAGTTTCCTTGCAAATTTCTTTGTAAACTCTTGATAAATAATATGCCACCAACACAGAAATATATAATATTTTCGTCTAGTACTGTGTAGTAGGGCTCAAAACTACAAAATTACGGATACAGTTTGACAGTTTTGGAAATTCGGGAAGTATAAACAAACATAGGCGTACAGGGCAGGGGGGCAGCCAACCCCTTTTGGAAGGAAATTTTCTTCAAAGTGGAAACACTGGTGGTCATTGTTTATTGGGTGGGGGGCAAACAAAATCTCTATCTTCTCAGATAGAGGGGCAGGGTTAAAAATTTGTTGGAGAACTGGTTGATCTTTGGCAAGAGCTACCTTGTCACCTACCACATTTTTCATTTTCTTGAAAAGTAAAACAGTTTTTACCTGAAAAGCAAAAGAGCAAATAGAAAATTGATTGCCAATGTTTGTTTTTTGTATTGTGTTTTGTAATGTTGTGTCGCTACAATAATATTGATTTTTCTATAGCTTGTAGCTAAACAAATATTACTTCTACTAAATAAACTATACGACCATATAATTATTTTTATTATCAAATTATATAAAATTCAAGCAGTGTTGACTGTCACTTTCCTGCAGATTTTCTGCCATAAGTATAAAATAAAGCTTTACAATCACACTCTTCTGAGTAATCTACCGGAATTGTTACAAATTTCTCAATTTGTATTCCTGCTTCTTTCATTGCTTCTTTCACCATTTTCTCAGTTAAGGGAAAGGTATAAAACTTTTCTTTGCTGACACAATAAAACGACTGCTCCAGCACGCCGTTCATAAATAGGTAACCGTTAGGTTTGAGTAATTTGCAAAGTTCTGCGACAGTGTTCTTGTAGTGCACCTCAGACGACACACATGCCTCTAGGCACAAACTGGTGGACACAACATCAAATGGTTTGGCAACATCATCAGTATCAAGTTGGACTATTGGAGCTTTGTTCACATCACATGGGACAATAGATTCGATTTTTCGTTTCAGTTCATCAGCGCGATTTCGTACACAGTCGAGCTTCTCTTTGTCTGCGGAGGTTTCACTTTCACTTCTCTCATCTACAATGCCTCGTCCTTGTTCGAGTTCAAGAACAGCAATTTCAATTAAAGGCGTCCAATCGTGGGCCTCAGCGTCGCCAGCAATCCACGACTTCACGGCTTCTCTATTCGCTTCCACATACTCGGCAAAGACAATGTGATTCACTTTTGGGCAAGCAAAAACAAGGTTGGTTATACAAGGTCCACCACCAAACTCGAGATATCGAACTTCAGTGTCTGTTGGCGCCTTAAAGCTCGACCAAAACTCATGAAATGCTTTAAGAAACGGCAACATAAATCCTTCATTTTTGTCCCCTTTGAAGTTTTTATAAAACAGCTCAAGGTAGGTTTTTGGGTCAAAATGGGTATGGTAATCTTCCGCGTACAATAAGTCTGCCATTAGCCTTTTGAAAAATCCCCATCAAAAAAGAGCCGCCTTTCCCCCGACCCAATCCCCTTAATTTTATTACTACTCGGCCAAAACAACATTAATTCGCCGTTCGCGACAGTATTGCTCTTTTTTGATGGGGATTTTTCAAAAGTTTGCCATTTGGGATGCCACAAGAGTTGCCTGCGGACACAGAATAAAGACATACAGAAGTGTAACTTCCATTACAAAACCGTAAGGCGCTTTTTACCGAAATAGTTCTGGCGGCCATGTTCTTAGCAAGTGCCCTAAAGAGAGGCATTCACCGCCCTGGAATATTAAATTTTCAATATGTTTTCAGGGGGGTGACTGCCTCTCTTTAGGGCACTTGCTAAGAACATGGCGGACTGAAAAAATCCCTTACGCACTTTTAATAAGAAGATATACTTCTGTATGTCTTTATTCTGTGCTGCGGAGGAAGCTAGTCTGCCATTTTGATTTGTCATTTTGCTCGATGAGTATGCCCGTTCGCAGGTTAAAATTTGAAATCTGAGACCAATGGAGGAAATTCACTTTTTTCAGTGTGTGTGTGTTTTTCAAATTTTCGACAACCTCCTCCCCCCCATGTGCATTCAAAAAGGCTGTTGTTAGCCCTCTTTTAGGTAGAACTTTCCAAAAATTCATCATTTTCCGTGAAGGTGGGAGGGCAATCTGACTGAGATGAAGGATTGAAATGTCATGAGATCAGAAATCAGAATAGACAATGTTTTATCAGCGACCATTCATCCTTAGTTGCAAGCGTCGGTACAATTTGATTTGACTTTGACACTAGAGCAACATTGGAGTGGTGTCAAATCAAACGTCAAACATAATATGTTGGCTTATGAGTTACGTCGTTCCCAAAGTAATAAGGGATGAACTGATAAATATACTACATAAATGGCAGATTGCATTTATTTTCTGCACAGGGAGGTTGAGGACACCTTTTTACCAGCTAAATTGTAACCTGCTGGAATTCAGTTTATCTACCCCCCCCCCTCCCTGGAATTTCCTGGGAATTCATTGCCAGATACCCCTGGAAAATGGCTTTAATTGCAAACCATCCCCTGCCCTGGATTTCTGCAGTCTTTTTCACCCCTCCCCCTGGATTCTCCAAGGCCTTTTTTACATCCCTCCCCTGGATTTTCCATTGTCCTCAACCCCCTGTGCAGAAAATAAATGCAATCTGCCAATATACATGACCTATTGTCCTATTAAGCATGCTGGGGGCTTATTTAATATGTCTAATATGGGTAAGGAGTTATTTGGGAGGGGGGGGGAAGGCTTGTTGATTTTACCGAAATGCAGCAAGTAATTGGCTGTTAGGCTAGCTTTCTTCAGATTTCCACCCACTTAAATTAATAAATATAATCAAACGTCAACATGTGTGCAATCCTTTGTGTGAAATGGGAGGGGGTTTGTTAGAGAGGGGGTTTATTTGGGAGTGGAGTTATCGAGTTGTAATGGTATATTGTTTTGGGATATAAACCCAAAGATGTTGGCTTATACCCACATGATATCAAAGGAGATTTTCTTCACCTTTTTAGGAAAGATAATGAGGAGAATTCTGCAGAAAGTACCAGCAAATGAATTTGAAGATTTAGGTGATGTTTCCACTTCAGCACAGCAGAACCTTCGGACTTCTGTCGTAGAAGGAATCACAGAACACAAGAAATTAATTGAATCAAAATAAATTAAGGGAAAGTACATTTATTACACCGAGGGAGGGGGATGAAGATGTCTTGAAAAAAGCTCATATTTTTACAGGGCCCCTGTTGAGGTTATCGGTAAATTTCGATGCCCCCCCTCCAAGTTTTTAAAATTTTCAATGCCCCCCCCCCCTTTAGAATTCGGAATCGAAGGAGTACAATCCGGAATTCTCTCTTATCATAGATACAATTTGCAGTTCCTCAAGATGTCTGATATACTCAAGTGCTTCTCCTCAACAAAACTACCGATCTGCTGCTTCTTTCATCTCACTAGCGCCAGATGAAATGGCACCGTCTTTAAAACATTTTAAATTGGCTCTAGGGGTGGAATTATCAACAGGTTGTTGTTGTCCATCATTCAGCGTATTCGGAGTCTTGAACACGTTAATGTAATGGCCAGGATTTCCTGGATCAGGGTAATGTGCTGGAACCTTACAGTATGTTGCCCCCACCCAACTTATCTCCCGGCATCTGTTGCAAATGTCTTTGCATGCCTGTCAAAAATGCATGCAAAAGTGCCAGTATGCTTCAATTTCTTTAATTTCCATCCCGTTTGTACGAAATATCCCATAAACATAGAACATATCATTCTTGCAAATTGTATATGCTTTTTTGCTTTTTGGCGCGTAAATTATTTAAAACTAGGAGTTACTATCGCAAGGAAAATGCTGCCGATATGTACATGTAGGATGTGCTACAAAAAGAGCGTTTTTCACTGTATGTATGATTTATTGTCTTACACATCGTCGTTCCTCAGTTACCTTCGTACAATTATATCTTACATCTAATCTTATGAAAAGTATATTTTAATATACTTAACAGTGCGACTTTGATAGTTGACACATAATATAAATGATAAAATGTGAATATTATTGAATGATTTTGTCACTCGTACAACTTTTAATTTGGCTATTCAAACAATTGATTTAAAATAGTTGAATTTATACTTACTGGGATGTTATTGCTTATTGGGATGTTGAAATTATGTTTGTTTTAAATACATTTAATTGATATTCCATAAATTCATTTTGTATGATTTCATTGACCTTGACGTTGTTCAAAATCATTTTGTATTGTATTGAAACTGTATGTCTATGACCTATGTTATGTACTATATTAACCCATTGAGTCGCATTGCACCCTGATGCACCCTACTTTGAACAGTATTTTACTCTGTCTAACGCCAGACGATTTTACTCGTCAAGGGGTGAGTGCTGGCGCTTAATGGGTTAACTGATCTATCTGCCCATGTGTCTAGTTAACCCATTGGGTCGCATTGCACCCTACTTTGAACAGTATTTTACTCTGTCTAACGCCAGACGATTTTACTTGTCAAGGGGAGAGTGCTGGCGCTTAATGGGTTAACTGATCTATCTGCCCATGTGTCTAGTTAACCCATTGGGTCGCATTGCACCCTGATGCACCCTACTTTAGTATTTTACTCTGTCTAACGCCAGACGATTTTACTCGTCAAGGGGAGAGCGCTGGCGCTTAATGGGTTAACACGCCCAAAATCTGTACTAAAACTGCTAATTCTGTTTTGTGATTGGCACAGTTTAATCAAAGAATCCTCCCGTTGAACCAGAGCCTTCACGATATTTCAATTTATTATTAACTGAAGGCTCTGGAATCCAGGATAGCTTGCCATTGAATACAGTGCAATGCTTATATTTCTGAATGAATAAGATCATACTCAGAACAGTCAGAACTGCAAAACTATATTGTTAGAAAGAAGTTGAAGTTGTGAGCATTATTGTGGTAACACAGCCATATGTATATATCAATGTATGTCAGTAGAATCATGTTTATAGGCTTTATATATAACTGAGGCCTTATACAAGTCATATCTTATACAAAAGTCAGTTGATATGCTATATTACATGTAATTGCTGATAAGTCCATATATGCAGACAACAATCCACACTGGGTAGCTCTAGGAATCTTGTTAAGCCTGATTTAACAACATCCCGCGTTTGTTTTTAAACTATAAACATTTAGAAATAGAACGTACCGAACACTATTATATACTCACCGCCTTTGGCTTTGCACATATTAAGTGACATAACAAACAAATAAACTAAAAGTTCATTTGCTTCTTGTATCAGCATAAAGGCATTAATCATTACTGTCGATTTGGTCGGGAATAGATCAGTGATTCAGTGGGTATTATAATTGCCGATATATTCTTGAAATCATTTTGTTTCAATGCCTCTATATCGAAGTTTAATACACTAAAGTGACTAAACAAGTATAAACAGCAGATTTAAATATAAATGCCTTCATGTATTATAAAATATATCACCAGACAGGTAGACAGGGCACACGGCACGACTACATCACTATACGAGAACGAAATAAAGCCATCCTTACCTGAATTATTCAAAATATTGTCGATCATTCTTGCGCCAGAGACACAAAATAACACCGTGCTTTATTTACCCATTCATCTTCACAAATATTACTCGGAATTTTTATGGAAATTCGCATTATTTTATGATTTTTATATTTCTGTCCGTTTATAACAGTCGCCATGTTGTGAACAAACCCCCCCGGGAACAAAAAAATAATATCAAAACAGCTAGTTTTGGCCCGTCCGTGGATGACAGAATGACATAAATCGAGATTGTAGCGGCTATAAACTCGGCGGTCACGTGGTAAGCACACCACGTGTAGAGATTAGTGTGCTGCCGAGCTACGCTCGGCAGCAATAAGCTATAGCGATTAGGTGATTTCATGTATCCATTTAGAAGAGCAGACTAAGGATATCTTAAAACTGAAATCGGTTTCGAATACAACCATCAGGGACGTAGCAAAGCATCTGACGTTTGGGGGGTGGGGGATGTCAGAGGATTATACGTGTAATAATTATAATAAAGCTTTTTGTGATTGATTGGCACTCTCATACTAAGTTTTGGGAGAAAAGGGGGTCTGGGTGTCCTCCCCCAGAAAATTTTTACATTTTTGAAGCTCTAGGACTGAATTTCTGGCGTTTTCTAAAGCAAATTTCGCAAACAAATTGCATGTAAATTGACTGTATTTTACAAAAATGGTTATCATTTCACAAAAATAATTACTTTATTATGCAAATTTTACCTGAAACTGATGTAAAAATTTTAACTTTAATTTGCTGGGGTCAAACCTTTGAAAAGTTTAGAGCCCCCCCTTCAGTATATCAAGAACTTTCAGAGCCCCCCCTTTATTGCCAGAAAATATTTCGGAGCCCCCCCTTAACATCTTCATCCCCCCCCTCGGCATAATAAATGTACTTTCCCTAAGCTTCCTCAAAATTTCCTTTGCCACAGGGAAAGATTCCAAGTTGACCATGCAAGTACTAGCTAGGCAAAATATTTAAAGTATTTTATTCATAAAAAATTACTGCACCCTACACATATTAATTGCTTAGGTTAATGCTGTAAATATAATTGTTCAGGTAAATTATATGAAATACATTGGTCTAATATAATATATATTTTACTGACTTTCAAGTTTCATTGGGGTATGTTATGCATACTTGTTTATTTAAAAAGGGTATTTTATTTTTACTACTATATACTTGACAATTAATACAACTACATAATTATTTTTATTATCAAATTATATAAAATTCAAGCAGTGTTGACTGTCACTTTCCTGCAGATTTTCTGCCATAAGTATAAAATAAAGCTTTACAATCACACTCTTCTGAGTAATCTACCAGAATTGTTACAAATTTCTCAATTTGTATTCCTGCTTCTTTCATTGCTTCTTTCACCATTTTCTCAGTTAAGGGAAAGGTATAAAACTTTTCTTTGCTGACCAAATAAAACGACTGCTCCAGCACGCCGTTCATAAATAGGTAACCGTTCGGTTTGAGTAATTTGCAAAGTTCTGTGACAGTGTTCTTGTAGTGCACCTCAGACGACACACATGCCTCTAGACACAAACTGGTGGACACAACATCAAATGGTTTGGCAATATCATCACTGTCAAGTTGGACTATTGGTGCTTTGGTCACATCACATGGTACAATGGACTTGATTTTTTGTTTCACTTCATTGGCACGATTTAGTACTCTGTCAAGCTTATCTTTTTCAGTTAAGGCCATAGGACATTTGGTGTTGTTGCCCTCACCCGTGCCACACCCCTGTTCGAGCTCTAGAACAGCAATTTCAATTAGAGCCATCCAATCATGAGCCTTCGGGTCGCCAGCAATCCAAGACTTCACAGCTTGTCTGTTTGCTTCGGTATACTCGGCAAACACAATATAATCCACTTTTGGGCAGGCAAAGATAATGTTGGCTATACAAGGGCCACCACCAAACTCAAGATATCGAACTTCAGTGTCTGGTGATGCTGTAAAATTTGACCAAAACTCATGAAATGCTTTAATAAATGGCATCGCAGATCCATCCGCATCGTCTTCCACTTTAAATTTTTTATAAAACAGTTCAAGGTAGGTTTTTGGATCAAAATAGGTATGGTAATCTTCTGTGTATCTTAAGTTGGCCATTTTTGTATGAATTTTGAAATTGGAATCTCGTGATCTGTGACTCTGAGGGCCCCCTATACTTTTTGCGTGAAGCGTGAAGCTTATTTTACTTAGCCGTGATCGGGCCCCCTATAATTTTTGCGTGAAGCGTGAAGGGCTTATTTTACTTAGCCGTGAAACGTGATCGATGATTTTCTTAATCCGTGACTCGTGAAAAGGCAAAATATTTTTACGTGAAAGCATATTATGAAGAGGTATAGGGGGCCCTCTGACTCTGACATTGATTTTCTCAAATTTTCTCAGTTTTAAGGATGTTTCCTCAAAAACAGGAATTTCGCACAGTTTTATCAATTTTTAAGGGAATTTTTAAGGATTTTTTCAGGAATTTTATAGGACACTTAAAGATAGACTTTAATAAATAAATTAATTATTAGGACTGATTTGATCAATGATTTGACATGGTAGTCGGTAGATCCGTAGTAGATGAGCAGAAATCAAAATTCAAGAACAGGGAGGTCATCTCAAAAATTTTCGGACATAACAAAAACTTTTCCGGAGATATCACATTTTTTTCTAAAATGAAAAAATTTTTTCCGCACATACCAATATTTTTTCCGGATATATCACATATCACATAGCAAAAAATGCAATCTGAACGACATTTTTCACGCAAGAAAAGGGCACTTTGCTCCCGAAAAAAGGGCACTTTTGAAAACTTGGGGCTGCCCCCTTAACATCTACGCCCCTTTTCAAGAAGAAAGGAATTTTGGGGAAAACCAAGGAATTTCAGGTCTCTTGGCAAGGAATTTGATCGTAGTATTGGACTGAAACTTCAAATGGCGGACTTGATGGAGGCAAAGTATCATGTATTATTTCTTGTACTTCTCTTATTTTCTTCTAATTGTTTGTACATCCGTACAGTTTGGGGGCAAATCACGAAACCTAACATAGTGCTTATCACGGTGAATCAATTTGGTCTCAGTGACTTGAATAACAATTGGGAATATCTGAAAAATATCAGGAAACTTTCAAAAGATGCGATCCAGTTTAGCCATGCCTACACGCAGCTTTACCAGACCTCGTCAAGGGCTGCCTTACTCACCGGTCGTCTACCAGTCAAAACTGGAATGCTGAAGGGTAGGTTTCTTCCCTTTACTTCGTTGCCTTCGATTGCATCCTCGGGGGGCTTGCCATTAACTGAGCAAACTTTAGCTGAGTTTTTGAGGAGAAATGGTTACACAAACAAATTTATAGGTTTGTGGGATCAAGGTTTAGGGAGCAAAGGCAAATTTCTCCCGTTGAATCAAGGCTTCAATTCGTGGTTTGGTGTCGTAACGCAGCACAGCGAATCATGCTCGAGCCTACGGCAAAAATCTCACGAGACGTTTGTTAATGATGAGGCACTGTCAATTATTCTCTATTGTGTATTTTGGTCTCTTTTTCTTGTGGCTTCATTATGGTGTCTTTGCTTTCTTAAAGCAAAATTTATATCCTTGTTGGTTATTCTGGGTGTTGTCTTATATGCAACCAATAATAGGACAACGTTTATCATGGTTCGAAGTTGTGTGCTCTATAAGGACCGTCACATAGTTGCCCAGCCATACGACGTGGAAAACATCACTTTGCGTTTTACTGATGAAGCCTTGGGCTTTATGAAAACTGCGGCACACCCCTTTTTTCTGATGGTTAACCACCTTGCGTTCTCAAAGCCGTTATTTGCTTCTCCTTTCTTTAAAAATACTTCTGGAAAAAGTGACATGTTCTTGGATTCCCTTGCAGAGTTAGATTGGAGTGTTGGCAGTATGTTACAGTCAATTGAACATTTAAATCTAACTGATGATACTGTTTTTATATTCACTGCACTTTCTGGAGATATAAATTTTAATGATAATAGGCCGTGCAATAGTTCCTCGGACATGCAGGGAAATCAAGATGGTTGCCATGGTTACTCTTTGAGAGGTAGGAATTAACCCCCATGTAACCACAATTTTCATTATGACGACTTTTGCATGAGAATATACCCTTTCAGAAAGTATGTCACTGTGGTTATAGAGCCTTGTTTTCGTGATTGAAATGTTTGTGTTTGACCAATGTTACATACATGCATGCAAATGAGGCTCTGTAGCCAAAGTGTTGTAGATGAAGCTACTACTACCCTGAGCTGCTCTAAACCAAAGATTACTGTCTGAGTTTCTCACTGGTAAAGAATAATCTGATATATTTACTGTCGTTCCAATTGAAGTGTTGCTCAAATATTGATTCAATACATTACCTCGGGCTGACCAATAGCTGTTATCGTAATTGAATACGCCGCTGTGGCATACCAGCGGTATCTCAGTGGAAGTATGCACGAAAACGAGGCTAAAGGGTAAAAAACACAAAACATGACCCTATAGCCTCGTCTTGATGTTAAAATAATACAGATACCACTGGTCCGTAGCATAGACGTGTTCAATTACGATAACAGCTATTCATTTCATCAAGTTCCTCGAGATATTCATACACTTCCTGTTGAATAGTTTGAATGCACCAATCACCTTTGTTGTTTGTGCAACTAACCAATCATAAATAGAAAGGAAGTGACCAGAAATGATCAAATGGAGTTCAATTACGATAACAGCTATTCATTTCATCAAGTTCCTCGAGATATTCATAAACTTCCTGTTGAATAGTTTGAATGCACCAATCACCTTTGTTGTTTGTGCAACTAACCAATCATAAATAGAAAGGAAGTGACCAGAAATGATCAAATACTTGGAATCGGCTCTTTCACAGGAAGTGTATGAATATCTCGAGGAACTTGATCAAATGAATCGGTCAGCCCGAGGTAATGTATTGAATCAATATTTGAGCAACACTTCAATTGGAACGACAGTAATGTTATAAATGTCTTTAGCATTGAGCTATAGATATTTACAGTAAAATTACAAGGTTGGTGCATTAGCTAGGGTGCAATTCCACTTAAAGTGTTAAATTAAACTTTTAATTGATATAGTGCAATTTGTTTACTCCTACATAAGGTAACTACAGCACCCCTGACAACTGGGGAAAACAAATACAAGTTCCATTGTTGATAAAATGGCCAAAGATGCTGCATTCTGGTGCAACAATAAATCAAACTGTCACACTGATGGATATCATGCCTACAATATTACACCTGACCAACACAAGCTATTCTAATGAGACATTGAATGGTAAATCACTGGTTGGTCTTATTAAAGGGACTACAGAATCATTGCATTCATATGTATTTCATTATTTGGATGTAACTCGACCATCTGCTGTAACTCACAATGAGTATAAAGCATTTTATAGTACCATGTCAGGTAATTGTGTGGTGGTTTTTGAATAAACATTGGCATTGTTTAAACTAGTGATATGGGGAAATTAAAGATCTAGTCCATCCATCAGCTAATTCATGTTAGAGAGATGTTCACATTTGAGAGGTCTGCGTATTAGATAGGTGTCTGTGTTAAAGAGGTTACCATATTGGGTCACTCTTCCTGTTGAAGAAATTTCTGCCATCTGGAAGGGAAGTGGAAAATCTACTTTTGATAATAGTAAAATGTACTAGGATATCTGAAAGGAGTAGGAGGTTCTTTCCAATTTTCTCCCTGGGGAAAGTGGAGCTGTTTTCTGGAATAACCCATTAGAGAGGTGCCCATATTAGAGAGATAACCATATTAGAGAGATATCTATATTTGAGAAATGACCACATTCGAAAGGTATCCATGTCAGAGAAGTTACCATTTTAGAGAAGTGCCCATGTTAGAGAGTTTATCATATTAGAGTGGTGCCTGTGTTAGAGAGGTGTCCACATTAGAGAAGTGCCTGGATTAATATTAGAGAGGTGCTTGTGTTAGAGAGGTGTCCACATCAGAGAGGTGCGTATATTAGAGAGGTGCGTATATTAGAGAGGTGCGTATATTAGAGAGGTGCCTATATTAGAGAGGTTAGTATACGAGAAATGCCTATATTAGGGAGGTGCCTATATTAGAGAGATGCCTATATTAGAGAGGTGCCTATATTAGAGAGGTGCCTATATTAAAGCGGTTAGCATATTAGAGAGGTGCTTATATTAGAGGGTTAGCATATTAGAGAGGTGCCTATATTAGAGAGATGCCTATATTAGAGAGATGCTAATATTAGAGAGGTGCCTATACTAGAGAGATGCCTATATTAGAGAGGTTAGGATATTAGAGAGATGCCTATATTAGAGAGGTTAGCATATTAGAGAGGTGTTCATAAGCTTTGACTGTATTCTTTTTTTAGATAATGGACTTGTGCATCATGACCCTCCACTACTATTCAACATACAAAATGACCCAGAAGAGACTTCTCCTCTCTCAGTTGAAGACTACAGCGAGCTTATGGCGAATATATCGGAAGCGCGGGAAAAGCATGTAGAAAACAGAACTCGCAAGTGGATATCACAGTTTGAATATCCAATATTACCCTGGCTATTTCCCTGTGCTAATTTTCCTTATTGCCACAGGAGAGATGTTGGGAAACTAAAACACATTATATTTAATGACAGTATTTTGTCTAACTAGTATCATGTTTCTACATAAATAAATAAAGTATTTATTAAATAAAGTATTTATTATTTACATATGCATAATGTTTTTTCAAAGGGACAACTTTCCAGAATTTGTCTGACTGTTCATGTGATAATGGTTTGAGGTCAAGGCTGATAGCTGACAGTACATGAGAACAGATGAATACGGAACCATACTTGAACAGTCTAATTTATACTGTTTGGCCTATTGCAACAAATGGCAGTTGCATGGGACACATGAGACCAGATAGCCTGCGCGCAGACTATATAATGACATATATATATGTCATTATATAGTCTGCGTGCAGGCTAGAGACCAGATGATTAGAGCACAGTAACCATTTTAATGAACCATTAAGATGGAAAAATTTGCACACTATTCCCAGTTCGCCCGTTCTCGTATTACGACCTCTCTTCCGGTTGATTGACTTTGGTAACCGGATTTAATTAATACAAATTCTGGTTAATCTGGTTACAACTATTTTATCTACGACTGTTCATCGTTAGATACAAATGACGGTAGCACGTGTAAATTTAGGTGCAAATGTAACACGAAGTATTTGTGAGAAAACCAACATGGACGCCAAGAAGGGGCGAAAACGTAAAGGAAAATCGAATTCTTTCGATCTAAAGCAACTTACAAAGGGACAAAAGAAGCATCTGAAGGAATATGGAGAACTGCATCCTGTTGATCTGGAGTGAGTGATATTTTAAGCTTCGTATATTAAAGATATATTAATTAAAAATCTGCTTTTAATTGTGGAAATTCTGCAAATTAACAAATATAAATTCTACGTGTAAATCAATTGCCTACGACGCACAAGAATTTAATGCTGTATAGGATTGCCTTCTTTATTAGCAGCTTTCTTATATTTTTACCATGGAATGGTCCAATCCGTGAATTAAAATTGTCGTGGATGAATATAAAACAGGATTTATTCTATAATATACACAGACAAGCTATGTATTACAGTAATTCTGTCAGATTAACCTATCTCAGATATCTGTAGCACATTGGGATCTGGTGTCAGACGAATACTCATGGCAATTTTTAAGACCACTCGGATAGATAAACCAGGTCTTTGTTTGCCACATTTTAGAGATAATGAACATGAAACACAGGCAACTACAATGAAAAAGTCAAAAAAGATTGAGAGGATTATTGATGATTCAATGAAAACGACCAAGGTTTTTTAATATTTCTCAAGAATTTATATTTTATACTTTGTAAAGAGGGTTAAGAAATATGCCATTTCTTATGGGATTATCAACAATAGATGATAAAGTGTTTCTGTTAGAGTACAGAGATCTAGTGAGAACTATTTCTTTAGCCTGTTTTCCATTTGACAAAATGATGACGTTTTTGAGCTAGAAGCTTAGCACATCATGAAAAGTGATGCCGATGAAGGAAAAAAGTCACTTTATGTGATTTGATTCGCAAAGAGTATGACGGGCGTCAATGCCACGTCACTCTTGCCACGGGAATAGCTTGAGTACCTGGTGAAAACCTGGGACAAACTGGAAGGATGCTCTCTTGTCACATGCAACTGAGGCAAATTTTTAGTTAGAAAATGTATATGCAGGAATTGAACCCTAGTTGAAAATGTGAAACACGCATACTCTAGCCACTGTCATGAACACCATCCTCAATGCGCTGCTAACTTGATGTACTATATGATCGTTTGCAGAAAAAAGACCATACTAAAACAATCCATAAAGAGAAGTATGCACAGGTATGTATCTCTCTGGGTAATGGAGCTAGTGTTTTGGTAGATCCCAATGTGGTAGATATAGGCTTCTTTAAATTCTTAGTATTGTTTTATTCAGCTGTTGTAATATTACATCCATTATTAAAGGAATACCGAATGGTTTTCTGTGCATGCAGGATTGTGTGATCCATGCACAAGGGATGTCGCGAGACTTTCGGAAAGCATAAAAACACTCAAACAATTTGTAAAATCAGCATCATAAAGTAACTAGTTCCACAATTCAGTCATTTTATAAACTGTGAAATACCCTCTTAGTACTATAAACTGTAAACCTTCAGGATGTCAAGGACGATGATGAACTTGAAGAAATATCAGCTTACCAGAAATTGGTCTCCTCCTTTATGAATGGTCAAGCCTTGAGCAAGAAAAAAATAACCAAAAAACTTACCAAGAAACTCAATCAAAACAACACCAACAATGTTGTTGAAAAGTCAACTAAAGACTCTAAGATGGTTAGTCCATTGCTAATTACAGTTATTTATCATTTTACATTTTTTAAAACACAAATGTCACTGTTCAATATTTCCAAAGTACTCATTGTTTTTTTTCCTGTTATTTGTTATTCATTGTTCCGCTTCCACCATTGATTATTTAGGAGAAAAATTTAGACATAAAAGATAACAAAGATAACGAAAAATTAGAAGAAGAGGTTTTGAATTTGAATGAAGGAAACGATTCAGATTCAGAGGATGAAATGAAATCATTGCCAGGAAGTATGTTTCTTTGCCACAGTTGCACACTAGCAAATGAATTATTAGTGAGACAAACTATCTTTTTCTTTGTCGATGCTGATGCATCATCTTTCTCTAGTTTTGAAATCTGACCACTATCATCTGAATGCTGCTAAGATCCGAGTTTATTCCATTTTAAGGGACGCAGCCTGAACCATTTTCCCAACATTTTGAAGTTGATCTTGAAGAAGATGTTATTGAAAGGCTGGGAAATAGGCCGTCAGTAAAACCAATAAAAGTAAGTGAAGTTTTACTTATCAGTGGATAATGGCTTGTTTGCTTGGTGTTTGTGGAATACTATTTAGAAAAAACTATCAATGACTGTTTTATATTTTAAGACTGCAGTTAAGAATGATGCAGCGGTACATTATCCATCATTGCCTGAGGCACAGTCGAAAGATTTTCCTGCTATGGACCCACAGTCAACTCTGGAAAGTTTATGGGTGCGTAAATAATAAATCGTAGGCAAGAAGGAGCTGATTGTGTATGTATGTAATGTATCATACACTATTATAATGATTTAAGATGCTGAATTATTTTAAATGAATTATTAATGAATTTGTATTTTTTCACATGTTTTAGGTGAAGCCCAAACTTGGTCAAAATTGGAATAACCTCAATCACGAGAACAGAGTAAATGGTAAGAAAAACTATCCTTTAAAGATGATTTCCACTCCATTCTGCACATCGTTCTGCTCATAACAAAGGGGGACACCAGATATAAACATCAGCGTTGCCAACTGTAATTTTGTAAAAATCCCAAGTAAGCCCCCAAAATATCCCGAGATTCCCTAAAAAATCCCGATATTCCTACTTTTTTACGTCGTCATTATAATTTAGGTGGTTTTTGCACCAATTTCGGGTAGGATAGCCTTGTACATCATGTTGTAAAAACGAAATCTGACATCAAATGTACAGCTGAATAGGGTTTAAATACGAGTGGACGAACCCTGGATTTTTAAAAAAATTGTTTTTTGGTCAATTTTACCAAAAAATTGATTTCTAAATTTCGAACTTCCCTTTCTCAAAAAATAAAAAAAAAATCCCGAGATTGACTTTTTAAAATAAAAATCCCAAAAAAATCCCAACTGCTTTAAAAAATTCCTAGATCTTGGGATAAAATTCCGGACTTGGTAACGCTGATAAACATTGCCCAAATTTTGCATCTTTCGAACTTTTTTGAATTGAAACGTAGAGTTTATATTCATTTACACGCATAGCAAACCAGAAAAGTGTTAGATAGTCAGTTAGTATATTATATTTTACAAATGTAGCAGTTCAAAACATAAACAAAGTTCGCACAGGAGTGGACATCATCTTTAAATCTTGGAAACTTGAGCCCTGGTCAAACGAGGATGAGAGTTGGCAAGCGAGAGTTTGAATGAGAGTTTTCTCAACTCTCATGCCGGTCCCAGTCAAACGAGAACAAGAGTTTTATGAGAGTTAATGGGAGTTTACTGGATACTGTATTAGTGTATCACCAGTCAAACGAGCAAAAGTTTTCGTCAACTTTGATCAAAATTTGAACCAGTTCAAAGTTGATGAAAGTTAATAGTTGATGAGAGTGCACAAGAGTCGATGTGAATTGCATGGCGGTCAAAAAAACAAGCGAGGGTTGCCATGATAGTGACTCCCAAAACCACCATATACAGTATCAATATTAGAAAATAAGCAACAGTGGGGAATTCAATCATTGTTAATCTACATTTATTGCGTTTTCGTAGGCGAAGCTTTTACAAGTTTGCAACAAGAATTGTTTCCAATTTTAAATTCGTATCAGGTAAGTTTTGTCTCATCTTGATCAGAATCATCACATAATATTTTTTTATACGACTTTCCTTTGTGTTTAAGCGACGAAATTGAATTGTTTGATATATAGAATAAACTCTTGGACATCAAACTGATATTACAACACTCTTAAATTATTTTAGGATCTATTTTATTGCAACCGAGATTTTAATAATGGGGAAGAAATACGGAAAATGTACTGTCTACACGCGTTGAATCACATATTAAAGTAAGTACAGCTAGACTAAAGGCGAATACTGTATTGAATGGCATTTTATTTTGACACTTTAGCATTGATAATTTGAAATGACGTCCAACTTTTGTCTTTAACTTTATGTTTTTATAGAACCAGATCGCGGATTTTAAAAAACAACGCAAAGATTGTCCAAGCACAGAAAGAAAGTAAAGAATTGCCTGGGTAGGATTCTTAGTTGCTAGCTTAGTTAATGCAGGTGTTTCCATGATCTCTGTAACCAGGGTTCGAATTGTCTGATAATTATAATTTTGCTTAAAAACGCATTAATAATTCTTGAGGAAAAGAGAAAGGAAATCACTACCGAGTACCGTGTCGATATGTGATAAAAAAATCATGTCTATTTACATAAACTTAGTTTTGATTTTCTCGGCTTAGGCAACGTTAATTTTTAAAGTTACTTCGCCAATGAACTCATAAGATTGGTCGTTTTTTAAGCCATTTAAAACACTCGCATGCAGTTTAACACACACTCGCATGCAGTTTAACACACGAGTGCGCAGCAAGAGTACACCTGCTATCATGATAAGGTTTATATAGTATACAGTACATAACCATGCATCATCGAACTTTTAAGACGTCAACTCGTGTTAATTAAGCTTTCTTAATATACGATCTTCATGCAGAGAGTCGTCTGATTTAGTTTAAATATTATTTTTTTTCTATCATAGAGAACCAAGAGATCATGGTTTGACAAGGCCCAAAGTTTTGATCGTTGTGCCATTTCGTGATTCCGCTCTGAAAATTGTCGAAATATTTATCAAATTGTTAACGGAAAAAGGAGAGGTGAGGATGTGGCGGACTTACGGCTAGTTGAAACACCGAAAAGTTTGTTGGAAAAACAATGTGCTAGCCGGTCACTATAACAAACGAGTTCGAGTTAATCAGGGTTCGTAGCGGTCTTTGAAATCCTTGAAAGTCTTTAAATTTGAATGCAGGTCTTAAAGGTCTTTGAAAAGTCTTTGAAGTGTGTGAAAAAGCGAAGAAAGTCTTTAAAAGTCTTTAAATTCTTTAGTGATTATTTGATTATACGATTTCCTAGCTAATAAAATAGATTGATTGAAGCAAGATTTTCGCAAATATCGACGAAAAAGTGCATTTTAGGGTGTGATTTGACGGGACTAATTACCTGGTAAAAATGGTGCTTATACATCGCAATTTTTTGACACCTGATTGCTCTCAAAGGTCTTGGAGACTACGAACCCTGTTAATGGCTGTGGCAGACATTGGGGGGAGGGGTGGATTAGGCTGCCAACATATGACGACCAACTTTTGTAGCTGGTAATCTCAGTTCCCTAAACTCAGTTCTTTAAGCTTTTCTAAATTTTAGGGTCAAGTAATGAACAAGAAGCGATTTTTTGAAAAGTTTAGTGAAAGCGAAGCCGATAGTGGTCCGCAAAATAAACCTGGTAATTATAATTCTTTTTCTATTTATATGATCATTATATTAATTAGTACTGTAACATTTTAATCGTATATGCATTTAAAGTTGGGAAGACGCTAATCATTCGTTATTGCAGCTGAGTTCTGGATTGCAAAGGAACGCCACTCAAACGTATTGGTGGCTTTCATCATACTACAGTTCAGTGCACATGGAGGGCATTTACACGAACGAATCTTGTTACTTGCCTTACATCTGTTTCTGTGTTAAAGTCTCATGGGATTGCTTGGAAGGCACCTATCTAGCCTGCAGAGCAAGGCATTTTGGTTGGGGGCCCCAAACAACACGCTTGCTCTACAGGCTAGCACCTATCGGGCTGTCACCCGGTATCACATGTCTGAAAATGGAGCATAGCTGAGGCGGAGGGGTTAGTTTTTGATGAGGGAGGGCCCGGAGAAAAATTAACCTCGAACCACAGGAAGGAAACAACCATATATACTGATACACTAGAAGTTTAATTGTGTGTGTGGGGGGGGGGGGGTATCGCATTTGACGACAGAAGGGCGTGGTTTCTGGGTGTGGTCATCCCAAATTAATTCTTCAGTTGCATGAAATTTTGGAATTGGACATCATATTTTTACGATGAACTGAAACGACGAAACTCTACTAGTTTACATTTTCTTATTTAGATGATTTTAAAAAGATGTTTTCAGGCAACAGTGATGATTTTTTCCGAGTTGGTTTGATGATCATGAGGAAAACCATCAAGTTGTACACAGAGTTTTATTCTTCAGATATTATTATTGCTTCTCCTGTTGGATTGAGGTCAATTATTGGTGCAGAGGGGTAAGATCGTAACTTTGAGTACGCATAAATTATTTTTGTAACGATTGAAAATTTTGTATATTTAATTAACACAACACAATTCTACTGGGCAATTGTGGCAGAGTGTATAACGTCATGTGCATTTCATCCAAGTCTTATTTTTTCGTTAAAATTATAATCATGGTTTTACTTCGGTCGCATGCGAGAAGCGTTGTTCCGGTTAAACTTCAGCAAACACCACAAGTTTTCTCCACGCTGGACCAATATAAGAGATGTTCCTTGTGCATCACATGAGGTCGACTCTACCAAACATTGCAGGTTTTCTCCAGGCTAACAATTGAGGACCTTTATTGGACCTCTATGCAGAACAGTTCTGAGAGAACACATAAACATAGAGTTATCCAGTATATTGTTAGTCTTATAGTTTTCAAAATTTGCTTCACAACAAGTACCTTCACTACATAATTTTTTGCTTAAATAATCAAATCATAGGATTTAATTGTCCTAATCTTAAAATTTTTGCATGTTCCATCTTTCAAAATAACAGAGAGAAGAGAAGGGACTTTGACTTCTTATCTTCAATCGAGGTTTTAATAATGGATCAAGTCGATGTCTTCTTAATGCAGAATTGGGAACACGTGCAGGTAAAGCTTGATTCATGATTTTAGTAAACCAGGAAACATTGTTATCTGGCCATGTTTCCAGAAGGTCGGCTAATCGGGAAACATTGTTTCCTAGTCACGTTTCCCGAATTAAGTTGTGACGAAACCAGGAAACATTACTTCCTAGCCATGTTTCCCGAAAGTAGGCAAACCAGGAAATATTACTTCCTAGCCATGTTTTACGAAGGTGGGCGAACCAGGAAACATTTTGCTGGATTTCTATTTGCTGTCGAAATTTTTAACTCAATTTCCTTTGAATGGCGAGCGGTCAAGTAGAACTGATTTATTTCGATGGTCCCAATTCAAAAGAAATAAGCGAAATATTTCGACGACGAAATATTTATCTGTAAGTGGAAATCCTCTCTTAGCCTTTCTCCTTTCTCCTTGTAGCATGTCTTTGATCATGTTCACCTGCAACCGAAAGACTCGCACGAAGTCGATTTCTCCAGAGTGCGAATGTGGAATTTAAATGGATGGTATGTTAGGAAATTTCACATGCAACAATGTCTGCTTTATACTAGAGTTCCGGAAATAGGAATCTCTCTGAAGGATCATCTGTCTTGGTGTAAAGCTAGGGGTGGATTTCTTGGGGAATGCAGGTGGCGCACCCCTCCTAGTATTGGCAAAAGGCATTTATAGAATAATGTGATCTACTGTATACAGGTATGAGTCTTGAAAGCAAGCCAATTACCATGCATGAGCTTTTCCTGTTCGTCTAATACTGTATTCATACGCATACTGTAAGATAATCAACTGACGAACTACACTGCATTCATCGTCGGAAGAACCACAGTGTATGTCTATTCTTTGCCCAAGTTTGTCCTGATGGATTGTCCGTCTCTATTTGGCTCTTCCACATTCCCTCAAATTTGCTTCAAATTAAATTCACGTAGCCTGTAAGGCAGGCGCTTGCGGGTTGGTAAAGTAGAACGCAAATGACCTTATGCATTCGGTCATTCCCATCATTCAACGCGGGATGAACGACAGGGGACGAGTCAGAGTCGGACCATTGTCGTGCAGTGTATTTTAATGTTCCATACAGTGATATGTATTAAGTCTATGCTTCAACTTCCAGAAATTGGAAAACCTCCAAACAATACTTCTAACATGAAGGTGTGATCATTGATAAACTACTGTACTTATTTTCTTGTTTTAGGTCAAAATATTACAGACAAACAGTTCTATTTAGCAGCTTTGTCAGTCCAGAGTTGAATTTTATTTTCAATAAAGAGTGTTTTAATATCCTTTTACATGGCATTGCCTAGCCTGTGCAATCATTGTTAAGTGATAGAAAGGCTATAAAACTTTGAAATTCCCAAGATAGCTAAAATTTGTATATAGCTCAGTGTTGAAGAGCAGGCAGAAAGTTTGCATTTTGCAGGCTGGTTGCGGGCAAACCGGAGCGTCGAGCAGACTAATCTTTCTTTCCTCGAGCAAGCTTATCCTTCTCTCCGCCCTCGCGTTAGCCCGCAAAATGCAGGCTTTTCAACACTGAGCTATATATTTCTATATGCAAACCTATGATTACGTCCGCCAGGAGGTAATAAGGTTTTCATCCACATTTCTGTGTGTGTGTGTGTGTGTCGGCATGTCAAACATATTAATACAAAAATTTGTGGGGTTAATGAACATTGTCCAAAGACAGATTGATAGAATTTCGGTTAAATGTGGATGAAAATTGGATGAGAAATTAGCAAACGTTTGTCCTGCTTAGTCGGATAGAGTAAAGTGAATGTATAATTTATGCATGATACATAACTTAATTCACTGGCCGAGGTATGCAGCCTTCGAGTGCCCTCTAGTTCCCACTAGTTATGACATATGTTGCTCTCCAATAAAACCCAGGGTGGGCTCCTTGTGGTCTAGACTACTGTATATAATCCGTCACACAACCGTCAACATCAACTAATTAAGATTCCCTTAACTCTACTCATATTACTCTGGACGAACTAAAATTTTACCTGCCAGTCAAGTTGGTTCCGTTTGTCAAGTTGTTGTCCAAATTCCTCAGGTAAGTCGTGACCATAACAACCCTTCCATTGTAGCATTAGGAACATTTCCATCTTAGGAACATTAGGATTTAGGATTTGAGTGGTGAGATTTTAGGTGAGAAAGCCCAATCAGTTTGTGGTTGCGCTTTCACTTTTTATACAAGAGCTGGTTAAGCTTTCTCTTTTTTTACTTCGAATTAGAAACTTAATTCGAAGTAAAAATGCGGCTGCCAGACATTTAGCGTTTTCAAAAATTATACTACAGAATAATAACATTCAAAGCCTAAAAGAGAAAAGCCAAAATAAAATAATATTTAGCTATAGGATTTTAGATTTTGGGAGTGTTTCTAAATTTCCAGGATGTGTATGTGCCAATTAACCAAAATAGCTAAACACACGGTTCCAGTTATGCTCGCCAACAGGACATAGACTATGCTTGTGGTTGTTCTTTGTATGCTTTGCAACCAAATACAAGACGAGGATACGCTTATATTTGCACTGACATATGTTACAATTATATTAATGGGCATTGATTTTCACTGTGGAATTAAGCTCATCAACAGTTTTTTTTTTCAAATAGTTTGTAATTGTTTTAGATCTACCATAAAGTGCTTGCTCCAAGTCACAAGGAAATTGCGGAAAAAAGATTTGAATTCTTTGTCAACAAGGTAGGACTTAACCCCCAAGAGGGAACAGCTGGGACAGAGCCTAGGTAGAACTAGTCACTTCGCAAGATCGCAAGTTTTCGACAACTAAGTAGCTAGTTCATATTTTAATGCACAAATTGTCCTAATTTCGAACAGCTAACAGGTGACCTCGAAATACAATTTGAAGTTTGCTGTTTTCAGTTAGCGATGTGCCGTACACGTCAATCTGTTGCTCTAATAATTTGATTTTGAATACCTTGGGTTTGGAAAATTTGTTGGTTGTGTGGTACCAGGTAGCAACAGTGGCGTAACTTTGTGCTAAAGGCCCCCCGGCTTTAACTGGAATAGGGCCCCTGGTCCTGCCTATTTAAAGTGGTGTCAGGGGGGACTCCGTCAAAAAGATGTAAAACTTGCTGAATGAAATGCATCAACTTCACCACTTTGTCATCCTTGTTCAGGGGCCCCCTAATTGATTTGGACCCCTGGCTTGAGCCAGGCGGAGCCCAAAGAGTTACGGCACTGGGTAGCGAGACTCCTGCGTACCTTACGTGGTACTTACTGACAACAAAGTAGTATACCCTGGTAGTATCAGACCGTAATATTGGCGTGTACATAAGTACGCGAATTATCGACCAACATGGTTTGAAAAGACTAATAACTAAATATTTTTATTTTCACTGCAGATATTTCCAGATCTGCAAGGAGCCAGCGGGATGTTATCCCACACAGCTATATTCATTCCATCCTATTTCGATTTCGTGAGGTTAAGAAATTTTCTCAAAAAGGAAGAAATTGATTTTCTACAACTGTCTGAGTAAGTTAATTGCTGGTTTATATGTCTTTCACCTCGAACCACAGTTCGAGTCTTGCATTATTGTTTGCTGACTGCATGGTCTGGTCACATATGAGAAATATACCTCTAGGGAGAACTTAGATAGTCGAACTTGCTATAAACAATGCAGAATGTGGTGTAGCGTAAACTAGATTGCTCTAAAATATGACATGAATTAAGATACTATAATAGCCGACAGAGACTTTTTTGAGTGGAACTTGTAAAAAACATTGCTCAAATTTGGTTTGCCGTTTGCTCGCACGTTTCGCTTTTGTAGAAGATTCGTTTGTCGGAGTTGAACACGCTCAAAACATTATGTTAATTGCGTTGCTTGTTGCTGAAGTTGTTGTCTGTTTTCCAGGTATACTTCGAGAGCAAATATATCGAGAAGTAGGAATGCATTTCTTCAAGGAAAAACGTCCTTATTGCTTTTCACTGAAAGATTTTATTTTTATTACAGGTAGGCAAACGTTTGGAATTTCAAAATCAAAGAATATGAAAAAATTTGTTGAAAATGTTTTGAAGAGGGTATTGGGTATACTGACTGTTTATTACCCTGTAACACTTAGTCAATTCCCTCAAACATTTCTTACAAACTCTTCAATGTTTAGAATTTATCTATATGCAAAATTCCTACTGTGATCACAGAAACTTTGATAATGTAAACCATCATTAAGTGTAGAATGGAACAAAGATGCATGAGCAAGCATTTAAAGTGGATTGAGTGGCATGGGGCATAAGAACGCGTTAACTGATTAGATCCAGTATTAAATAGACTTTTTCTAATTGCAGATACCGTATAAGAGGAATCAAGAATATAGTATTTTACGAGCTACCGCATTACGCTCATTTTTATCCGGAAATCGTAAACTACATGGACACAAGTTTAGAAGGTGGAGAAATCAGCGCGTCAAATTGTACTGTACTGTATTCCAAGTTTGATATCCATAGACTGAGTGCAGTCGTTGGTACCTCAAGATGCTCGCAGATGACGGCCTCCGAACAAACAGTACATATGTTTGTGACTGGCGAATAATCGTATTACGAATGATCCGATGTAAGCCTTTTTGAACTTTTGATGAGAGTTGATGAGAACGTTTGCTCGTTTGTCTGGTAATATGAAGTCAAGTAAACCCTCTCACAACACAACACTTGTGGTCCCCACGCTCGCCTTTCAAGCTGGGAGACCCGCAACCCGCGACAAAAATAGTTGTGACATTGCCGATATGTAACTTATAAGTGCTATCCCCCTTCTCCCCCCCCCCCCTTGCTCAATGTTGGTAAAAGCGGTGGATTCATCAGGTGGAAAGCAAAAATATCAACAGATCACAACATTGAATAGGGGTAGCAGGGGAAAGACGTAGGTGTCACAACCTTTTTGACGTGGATTGTAGTTTCTAAACAGATGCAATATTAGCGCAGGTTACATATGAACTATCTTTTGCCGAAATCTAGTTGGGTCATCAGATGTTGGTTTCAAACCATAGTTCCCAGCAACTTGGAAATATATTTTCAAAAACTTGTCTGACATACAGATATTCATAAGCCGAAACAATGGGTTAAATTTAACCCACGGTTAGCGCTAAACGTGCTTTTAACAAACGGTCCCAGTAGTATAAATAGAGCCAGTGTGTATGAAAATGTAAAGCAAAAAGGAAGAAAAGTTTATTTATTTAATATTTATTTATTTATTTATTTATTTGAAGAGTACAAACACCCTTTTGTAATCAATTTTATACATTAATAGTTTTTGCAGTCCGTGACAAATATCATCAGAGGAAACTTCTAAGGTTACTGTAGTCTGTATATGAATTGGTTCACTGGATGTCCAGAACTGAAACAGGATTCATCTCTTGTTTATCTTTCACACAGTATTGTAGAGCCAAACTATTTGTGCATTGTTAAACTTTCTGACAGCATTATACAGACAAGGTGGCTCATTAACTGGGGTTTGATAGGTTATTGCAGAAGTGAACTAGCGTCCTTGCATATTTGGCGTATGAGTAAACAAAGGTAATGTTCTATATTGTTCCAAAAGTTCACTAGAGAAAGAAAAATGATAGGAATTTATTAAAGTTGTCTCAAACAATTTTTTGTAAAAATTATGATTCATAGACAGCCAGGCCCATGTACTGTACCATTTTTCTTTGTATTTATTTTGATAAAATTCAAGTTCTCTCTTTTGTTTTTCAACATTTGTATCCACACCAGGGATTTTCTCCAACATTTCACGGCAGGACTGAATCTTCTCACGGAAAGCTGCTACCTGTATGTTGGAGATACGAACAATGTCAATGGGAGTTCAAGGTATTAAGTATGGGAGTGTATTTCTAATTGCTGTTATACTGTAGACACTGTAGAAATGTACAACACTAAGATACCTTTCGTGTGACCTCTTGAGAATCGTTTGTCTTTTCTATCGACTTTAAAATATCGTAACCCGCGGGCAACAGACTAAACTCTTTAGTTAAATCAATATTTTGTTGTTCTGAAGTCGCCATGTTGGAACAAATTTCAATCACCTCCCCCTCCGGTTAATTAACTGGGTTTTAATAGTTGATCCTTCGATAATAGAAGTAGGAATTTTGCATAGTTTTTAGAAAATTGAAATCAAACTTATCAACGTTGGAACGTTTTGAGGACTTTATATTAAGGAAGACATTCCAAAGAAGACCTAGTAACATGTGTCTCAACAGATATAAAGTTTAGGTTTGCATAAAAATGCAGGAAATGACTTCATGAAAAATTGAAACTTCCAAATATTGGCCCAATGTTAGGGAAAACTAAGGAATCTCTGAGATCGTGCTAAGGAATTATTGAGATATTGCGCGAATATTTGATAGTATTTACTTTTTTATGCAAAAATGGCTAAAGTAGACCTAAAACTTGGCAGTGCTATCAACTTATCGAAGTGGTTGGATGAAAATGAAGCTTCCTTTGTGCCGCCGGTTTGCAACAAACTCATGTAAGAAATCTGTATATATTTTATAACATTCTTTAAATTTTTATTAGTATTTAGAATATGTTGCAACTTTTACCTGTGGCGCTTTAGGTTAATTATTAACTCTAGCAGGGCAAATGAGAGGTGTACCCAAAGTCCAAACAATGCCACTTCCCAAGCATTTCTGCATTCCCTTGGCCACTGGAGGTTTAATTTAGACCTAGCTTGAGGGCACAGAAATACAGAATAGAGGTCTTGCAGAAGGCCAACTTCTTGGTTTTGGCTATGATTTTGGTATAACCAATTTTACAATTTATTACCTTTGTCTTAGGCTGGGTAACCACAACAGCAGTTGCCAATTACTGCGGCCGCAACCATTGCAATGCTGTCACCTTGTTCCTGATGCTTATGATTCAAGGCATTCACGCCCCCCCCCCCCTGAAAGTATTCAAAATTGCAAACGTTCAGGAGGGTGATTGCCTCTCATAAGCCCACTGGCTAGGAATGTTAACATGGTGACAACATTTTGATCAAGTATAATTGCAAATCATGGCATTGGCAGTGGTTATGCTTTTTTTGGCTGGGTCGACCTTCTGTGTGTCTCTATTTTGTGTTGAGGGTGTGGTTTGGCCAGCGTACAATATCGTTTGAAGGTGCCCTGGAAGAAAGTAAATTGTGCTCCCGAATAATACAAAGCTTGTGAGCTGGCTGCTCATATGATAATTAACTTACAGTCAGACCTCTCAAATATTGGAGAGGTTTTTTCAAAACAAAATATATTTTGGGACATAAGAAATGGTCCTGTTATTAAACAGAGATGTGTCTGTATTAGTGAGGTGCACATTTTTTAAAAAAAATATGTGTTTCTGTGCAGGTATGGTGAAGGTCAGCTAAAGGTAATGTATGTTGGTGGACCAAATACAAGAAAAGATTTCCATATCGAGGAAGGAGAAGAAGTGTGTAAAAGCTGCATTTACATATAAATTTATAGCCCAACAATGTTAATCCAGTGGCAGCACTTTCCTCTTCATGAGTAAAATCATCTGGTATTGATTAAGTAGGGTACATCAGGGACGTGCATTGCCACTTAAAGGGTACATAATTAACAGGATGATGTCTAATTAACCCACTGAGTAACAGCATTCTTCCCTTGACATGCAAGTAAAATCGTCTGTCATTAGACTGAGTAAAATAACAATAGTAAGCCAGTGCATCAGGGTGCATTGCTGCTTAATGGGTTATAACCATATTGCCCCATATTTAACTCTAACTTGCAATTTTAATTTGTCATTTCAATGATTTAGTTTTTCTACATGGTGAAAGGTGACATGTGTCTGAGGGTGATGGAACAAGGGAAACCAAAAGACATAATAATCAGAGAAGGAGAGGTTGGTTCTTAATAAAAGCTGTCCACTGTTATAAATGGATTGTTATAAATGGACTCAAATCTTTTATACATAGTCAACATTAATGGAACACACAAACTACATTTTTATTGAGTTTAATTGTTTGTAGTCGAACATCTCCTTACAGCCACCTCTCAGTCCTCACAATTTTTCAACAGCAAATGGCAATTGCTGTCGATGATGCTGCAGAAATGAAATTATGAAATGAAATTATCGAGTCAGACGGCAATTTTTTGCTGATGAATATTTTGTGAGCACTACATTCTGCAAATTTGATTGATTTTTCTGAAAACATTACTGCTACAATTATGAACAGCTGGGCATTTATTAAAAAGAAAAATATCATTTATATAATTGTTTTTCCTTGTTATTCTGCCTCTAATAAAGACACCTCTCTAATTCTCTATTATCAGCAAATATGGGCCGCAGGTCTACTTAAGGAGATTATATATTCTATTTTTAGGTATTTATGTTGCCTTGTCATATTCCGCATAGTCCTCAAAGGTCAGAAAACACTGTTGGCTTGGTAAGGCGAATCTATTTTATATTTCATCCATTGAGTGCCAGCGCTCTCCCCTTCACAAGTGAATAAAGTTATAGGTCGTATTGAGGTACAATGCGACTCAATGGGTTAATGAAGATGATACATTTTTATTCACTGTATTCTGTTTGTATGTAATCAGGCATCTGGATTTTGATTTGATTGACATACCGGTATACCAGACGTACATTATCACATCATATTTTATGTTATATACAGGTAATTGAAAGAGAACGAGAGGAGGGGGAGCAGGACTGCCTCAGGTACTGTGCACAGGGCCATTGCTAGGGGGGGGGGGAGGTAGGGTGACATCTTTGAACACAAGAAAAATAATGTTCGTTAGTTTTGCTGAATCATGACTTATTTCAATACATCAAAATCATTCTGCCTCACACCCCCTAAAGGCCCATTTCCACTCAAGAGAATATCACTTTTCTCAAGGTATTACTGTGAAGACAACTCAACCATCCTGTTTGAGAAATGGTTCCATTGTACTGACCTGGGAAAAGACTTGGTTCCAATCGTTAAATCGTACGTCTTATGCTTATTTTTTTACCATTTAATTGACCAAGAGAGAGAGACTCGAGAGAGTTTGTTCAATAATGGCTATTAACTTTAATTATCAATAATTAAGACCAGGGAACCATTATCTTCCTATTCACTGCTGAAGTTATTTCTTAAAATCTTGGTCTTATATTGACGTTTGTAGGTTTTTTACATCTGAACAACATAAAACAGGCAAACCAATTCCAGGTATAGATTTCATTGCAATTAATATTGCAAATTAGTGATTATGTGCCAATAAAATCTCTCGACATTCATGAAAGAGTAAAAGCTGATTAATTCACATTGAACCAGATACCATAGACAAATCTGGGCGATTCTCCTTAGTCCTTTCCATTCACATGAAACACACGAAACCTGAAAAATGTGAGCGTAACAACGCGCAAGTTGTTACAGATCTTCAAACAAGTTCTAACAACGTTGTAATTGTTAAGCCGATATCAGAATGTGCCCGTTGTTGCAACAAGTCTGGAACAAGTTGTCATTATTTTGTTACGTGGTTGATGACGTGAACAGACTTGCTACAAGTTGTTCCAACAAGTCTAATACAGGCTGTTCGTAACAAGTTGCTACGAGCTTGTTGTTAACAACTTGTTACGTGCAAACGATATCAGACTTGCTGGAACAGCTTGTTGCGAGTGTCTGTTAATTCGCCTCATCAACCTTGTTACAAGACAAAAACAGTTGTTCCAGAATTGTCAACAACTGGGAACAAAGTAGTGCGAACATATCTTGTTGATAAGCTATGAGATTTAAAGATTTTTACGCGTGTACGGTGTAAGTAGCTAACTATTTTCAGTAAATTTTCATGTGAATGGCCAACAAATGGGCAGGACAAATTTTTCGTAGTCCATACGTATATACAGTGCGTCCGTTGTTTTACAGGCACGATCACAGATAAGCCACCATTTCAGCTTGATACGACAACTAAACTACATGATCCGTTCTCGCTGCGAAAGGTATAAATGATTGTTTTGTTTAAACACTCCGTTACTTATACTTACCAAAGTTTAGTAAATTGATTTTTATTCGAGTAATGCCAAATTTCTTGTTTTGCTTTTGACAATGAAGTTTAAACAAACTCAGTCTGTTGAAAAACCAGTATAAAGTACAATTATATATAGCACTGTATTTGTAGTGTATTTTTATTGCTAAGTTTATGATGTCAATTAAATTTATTTTCAGTGGGTTGAAGACAATAAATCTGAAATAAAAGAAAAAGGTTGCAAAGTTCTGTTCGAAACTGGACAGACAAAGGTAACGTATATACGTGGAATACCTATAATAGTTGGTACTCCTTGTTAATTAATGAAGAAATTTAGTTTTGTCTTAAATTATTTTGAAGTTGATATTATTAAATTATTTTGAAGTTATTTTGAAGATATTTTCGGAAAATTTTCTGTCCGTGGAAAATTTTCTTGAGTAAAAATGGCCCTGTGAAAACGCGCGAATTTCTTATTTACAAAATGTTTCCATTTCTAACTAATACAGATCACAGTCCACGGACCAGGTGACTATTTTACGGATGGTGACTCAGAAACATGGCTTTGGCAAATTGTAAGGGTTCTTATTTCTAAGAGTTTACACTTTTATTTCTGTTATAGACTGCGAGCAATCCCTCTATTTTCCTTCGTTTTATTGTTTCCCGGACTAAGATTGAACGCGCGGGAAAATGGCAAAAAGGGGCGGAGACGAGAGGAAAAATAGAGGGATTGCTCGCAGTCTATTTCTGTTACTTTACTTTCAGAAAAGGTGGTCATGATCATACAGTCTATCACTTTTATGCAATTACAAAATATTGTCCGCTTTATCTCATATCGTATTTATCGTCTGTTATTTTAGAATGGCAATTCAAATTTTACCTGCAACGGTGTCGACACTAAATTGGTGAATAGTGATGTAATTTTGGTCCCGTCTGGAACGAAGTAAGATATACAATTATCTTTCTACCGTATTGTCTTTAATCGTATCGTAACGTACCGTAGAATTTCCGTTTGTGTCAAAGTCATTAATTCCACTCAGGAAAGAAATACGAGATTTAACGCCGGAAATTATCTAACTGATAATTTTCTCATGCGATGCTTGTTTTCCAGATATTCTTGCAAGATAGAATCAGACGCACAAATTGTTTCTGTGGTCATGGATCCGAAAATGAAATCGAAATAGCTGATGAAATAATCAAAGTAAAAGATCTGCAATAATTTATACTCTTTCGGAAAGTAGGTAGCATAGTCTATCAAGATATGATAGTCTGGAAACTAAACAGAAATCATTCTGTGATGTTTTTGTCGGAGTTTATGTTAATTTGTGCACGGTCACGGTGATTGAGCTCATTGGATTTTCGTATAATGAAGTAATCATCCAATTGGGATAGCTGTAGGAATGTTCGGTATGAGAAATTTCCGGTATCGGTATACCGAAAAAATTATACCGATATTATCGGTATACCGGTTTTCCTTTGATAATTATAAAGGAAATTTCTTTAATGGAAGTTTGAAGGAAATTAGTTTGAGTAATTCTAAAAGGGAAAACGATAATTTCGAAGCTGTTTCGAACGACATGCACATACTCAGTGTAAAATCTCATTGAAGTGGAAATTCTAAATCTTTGCAGTAGAAAGTTCTTTGAATTGCCATTCAGTAGTAAAATAAAGGTTATGGTTTCGCCATATAGTTGGTAAATTTAACACGGCATACCGAAAAATTCCGGTATATCGGTATGGTTGAATATCCGGTATCGATATACCGATATTGATTTAATACCGATATTTTCGGTATACCGAACAGTCCTAGATAGCTGAGGTGAAATGTGCAACCACGAATGAATAATATGAAGTTGAGACAAAGGATTTGTGTACCGTGAAGGTACAGTTCAACATCAAACAAAGGGTTTTTATTTTGTGGCTCTGAAGTTTGCCAGGCTTCCAGATCATCATATCTTGACAGACGATAGTTGTAGTGAAACTAAATAGCCAAGTAGCAAAAATTGCAAGATTATTTAACAAGAATTGGCACCATCCAATCAGGATCCAGTGATTGGAATATTCCATCGTTTGTTTTGACATTTTGAAAGGGCCTATTTGTAACCCACGCATACTCCATAGACTTAGCAAAGGCAAAACTTAATAGACAAACGGTAAAACTTTACT